TAAACATATTTATTGTAGTGTATTTTATAAATATTTCTTAAGCTTTTTCATAGTTTTATCGTATTATTTCAAGCTTGGACTAATAATTTTTGGATGCTCCAATAAGTTTTATAGTCCATAAATGTTAGTAACTCAAATAAATCCTAAACCAAAATCAAGTCAATACTAATGTTAATAAAACATTCAATTCAACTGTATTATGAATGAAAATAGTGTTGGATATCTAGTTTTTTAGTTTATCCATGGTTTAGATAAAATGTATGGCTTATTTTTCTTTTAGTGATTAGTCATGTAAATAATAAGTAGTACTTATTAGTCGTAATTTTAAATTATGTTTGTTTTCATTATGGCTTATTAATAATATTTATTTTATGCAATTTTATTATCTTTATTGTTGAATATTTTAGTACAATGCCATGACTCATCTCATATTTATGTTATTTTATTGAAAAATACCTTATATATTTTTGTCTTACTAGAATTGAAGAAATATTTAGAGCACAAACTTTATGTTTTGTGCTATGAAGACTTTATTGCAAAAAAACCCGAAAATCCCGAAAACCCAAAAACCCGAGATTAAAAACCTGACTTTTATTGGTTTGGTTTAGTATTTAGATTTAATAATCCGATATAATTGGTTTGGTTTGGTAATTAAAAAATTCGAACCAACCCGTCTTATGTACACCCCTACTCAAAACTTTTAAATTAGTAATTTTTTCATTTTTTTTTATTCTTGGTTTTGGATCTTCATGAATTGTTATTTGTTAATAAACGCTGCACTGATACTATAATTTTGTACTGTTAAGTGTTTTTCAGTTTGTTATATGACTTGTCATACTTTTCAGATTACTAATCATAGAAATTTTTATAATTTAAACCGTACGAATATTTGTATTAGGGTTGACTGTTTATATTATATTCTTTGGAATGCGGTTCTTACTTGTACCCGGTGATACACTGAGTTGTCTTTTTTAATTATTTTTTTTGTGGGTCCTACCGTAATGGATATCCCACCCACCCCACATTCCATGTAGGGACAATAAAAATGAATCTTTATCCACTAAACAAGAAAGAAGATTGGACAATTCACTATGTCAATATTCTAGGCTAGCCCAACTTAAATTTCATCAAACTTTTTGTTTATCTTGTGACAACTGACTAAGTAAATTTCGGAAAAGCTTTGAACTATAACATAAATTAGATAGAGATTACCTAATTGTGAAAAAGATTTAAGACTCAATATTTCTGAAAAATTGTTTATTAAATTTAACCTTATGAGATTGTGATCGAGAACATAATATTTCATATGCATGGTTAAATTTAATAAACAACTATTTTATAATTTTTCGAGGACATGACCCTTGATAGGAAGTATGGAGTTCGAGCAATAGGGTTGTAGGTTAGGAGGTACTTGAACATTCTTCTACTTCGTACCGGGTGTGAGGTTAGTCTGATGAGGTTTCGTCTTAGACTGCTAGTGGTTAATGTTGTGTTCACACTATTCTTCCGTAGTTTATAGTACCGAGCTTTATTTACTGGTTATTGTTATTGTTTTTCATATATTTTCTGGTCCTTATTTCTATGATTTCTGTTGATGGTACTGATATATTGTCTCTTTTCGTCTTCTTGAGCCGATTGTCTATCAGAAACAACATTTCTACTCCCTCGGGGTAGAGATAAGGTCTGCACACACACTACCCTCCCCATACCCTACTTGTAAGATTTTACTTGGTTGTTGTTGTTGTATAACTATTTTATAATATCGTAAGATTACAATCAACTGTATAAATTTCGTGATATTTTTAGCAGTCCATTAGCTATTTCAAGTTTAATTACTAAGGTTTCTACCTACAAGGATTAACTGTGTATTGCAAAAAAGATTAGGGAGGAGGGGGAGTAGTTGAAAAGAAATTGCTTGATTTAGACCTTTATAGAATTAGACATAAAGTGGCCACTCCCCACCATATTATTATTTTCCATCAAAAGTTTTTATTTTTTTTGATTCCTACAATCAACAGGTAAACATTAATCATGCCTAATTAAGGTCTTTCATATATATATATATATATATATATATATATAATCTTTGTCTTCTGAATATAAATAGCGTTCAAATTCATATGAAAATAAGTGTGTTTAACCCTACATCTTTTTTCTAGGAGGGAGATGAGTATAGCTTTTCAATTGGTTAACTAAGTGGGCATGGCGGCTGAAGATTTTTCTCGTTGAAAATAATTTTAAGCACTGATGGTAAAAATAAAATTACCCATAATTATGTTAATTATAATGTATTTATAAATAAATTTTTCTGATAGGTATTATTCCTTTTATTTCATGTTATATAACAGTATTTTGACTTAACGCGTTGTTTAAGAACGAAAAGCCTTTGACCAAATGTACCCTTAGAATTTGTGGTCTTAGAATTAGACATGCTATGATATTTCTATGACTATAAGACTATGTTATTTATTAAGGATAAAATGAGTAGTTAAATATTAAAGAGTTCTCAAATATAAAAATATATCATTCTTTTTTAAACAAATTAAAAAAAAATCATATAAATTGAAACATAGGAAGTAATTGCCGACCTAAAAAAGGTTAAACTACATTGATCATGTAAAATATCTTTATACTGTTAATTATCTAATTTAAGTCCTTTGACGATGCCATGTATCATTTCGTGACTAGTTGACACATTTTTATATACCCTATTTTGCTATATTCTCTATGTATATTATATATTATAGCAGTAATAATAGAAATGAATTTCATGCAGTTCTCCAAAAAGTATAATATTCATATGATTTGCTGGTTTCTCTTGTCTTAACTACCACTTTGTAAGCTTCATAAAAAGGGCTGCTTATCGGACGGATTGAGCGGTTATTTATTCTTAACGGTTTAGTTTATCGGTTATCGGCTTTTAAATATATTAATCCGCTAGCCACCCGATAGGATAACGGGCGGATTGGTATCGGTTTAGCTCTTATCGGGTGGTTATCGGGCGGCTTATTGGCCTAATTCAATCTATATCACACATTCAGAAATTTCAGCATACAAATTCAGAAATCGAAATTACACATTCAGAAATCAAAATTACTGATACGCGACGCCTTCCTGAGATTCCTTGGAAGGGCGACGTACGGCTAGGCAACTGATGTCAGTGCAGTTGCTGTCCGCCAACTGAGGTCCCCTCCGTACGCTAGACGAGATTGTCAGTGCCGTACGGGAAAACCAATATCAAGAGCAATTGAGAGAACAGAAATGAGAATTCAGAATGAAAGAAAGCTTGATTGCATTAATGAAAGCTATTACAGAAAAGCAACGCGGTGTCGAGGGGGAGAGACACCAGTACAGAGAATTGCTTGCTTGCTAGAAAGTTTTGATTGCTTGATCCCCCCTAATAGTACTTAAAAAAAATAATCCAAAGTTACAGGAGTAGACTTAATTAAGCTAGAGAAACATAATGGAAGTACATGAAATAAAACTACTCTATATTTACAATGAAAATGACTTAGTCTTCTATAAGGCAGCAGCATGTCCGTTGTCAGCAGCAGTGTCTTTGGCATCACGGTCTGCGCGCGCGGCGCTGTTAGCTTCTGCCTGCGGCTTGGCGCTCGCGAGGGATATCGGTGGGGCGACAGAGGCACCTGCGCGCTTGTCACTTGGCGCGGCCAAGACCACGGGGCCGTCCGTGGCGCTAGGCATTGGGAGGTTCGCTAGGACGCCACGGGGCGCGCCCAAGGGGTCATGGGGCATGGCTGGAAAGCCGCCCATGACATTACACATGTCTGTTAAGTTGTGAGAACTTAGAAAGAAGATTTCTTATCTAGCCTAGGAACACACTAACACCTCCTCTAAACAGAACACATTAAATCCCAAAACAGAACACGTTTCTGTCTTTTTGATTATTTAGGAATTAGGCGTTAAGAAAATTGAATAATTCGCCCCCAAACCGATAAGCCGTTAATAAAAAAATTTCAATCCGTTCCCCGTCCGTTAAACTGTTAACCCGATACCAATAAGCCATTAAGCTTCGGTTTTGGTTCGGTTTTTGATTTCGGATCGGTTTTGAACTTAGAATTAAAGAGAAAGGTGGCTGTAAGTTAAAAACCAAAATAAATATAACTGATTATGATAAATCTTTTGTGTGATTGAATAGGACTAAATGCATAAAGAAGATTCATATACTCGATTCTAACTAGTTCGTGATTGAAAAGTAGTTATATTAATTTTTACCAAAAAAATCCCTTATGTATTATGCACAACTTTGTGAAATTGTGCCATCAGTCCCTGAACTGAAACCTATGGAAGATGTAACTTGGCTTACTACAATTCCATGGCAATTTTGTTGCATAAACTCTACAGATAGACAAAGAGAAAAAGAGAGATAGCAGCAATGACATTAGAGGGGAGAAGAAAGTTTTCAGCGCCATAAAATCTTGACAGCAAAATATATATGTAACTGATTTAATGTTTTGAAATTTACATGATCACTCTACTTTAACCTGTCGTAACAAGTAACATGTCTTACTTTCCAGGTTTCTATTCCCACTTTTTATAGACAATCAAAATGTAAATATTTTTGGGCGACCAGATTGTGTAAAAAACATTTTTTACTGTTCGTGTATAGAAGGAGAGCCTTGGCGTAACTGGTAAAGTTGATGTCATGTGATTAGGAGGCCACGGGTTCAAGATGTGGAAATAGTCTCTTACAAAAATGCAGGGTAAGGCCGAGTACAATAGACTCTTGTGGTCTGGCCCTTCCCCGAATCCCGCGCATAGCGGGAGGCCGGAGCTTAGAGCACCGGGCTGCCCTTAAGTGTATAGAAGTTAAGCTCATATGTAAACAATATGAAAATGGAAAGACAATAACCAGATGCTGAATATAGAATGTCTTATACTATAGTACTTGCTTCCAATAGCTGCAGAACCAAAAATAAGCTAAAAGCTGCTGCATTATTGAACATGCAATTCAAGCTAAAAGTTGAACAGCAAGAATCTGTAACAATCATATGTATATAACACTTGAATAATATTGTTGTAACACAGAACAATTTCATGTTACTCCTTTCTGAAAAGAACCATTCACCAAGAAAATATAAAATTCTTGGGAAAAAAAGGATAATTTCCATTTAACATCCTACAGTTGACCATATTCACCAGAGCATTACTTGCGTAGAATCTCCAGCCAAAAGAATCAGATTTACATTTCTGAAGAAAGAACAGACCTTTACCTGTGGACTGCAATAAAACTTGCCACCAAGCTGTATGTATGATTTTACTATATATGAATTTCTCTACGTCCTAATTAACACGGCATATCTGCAAGTTGAAAGAACGTTCTACGACCCCAATATGAAGGCATGAATCTCGGCCCAGCTAGAAACGGTATAGAGAACGCTAGAGGGCTCCGTCCAACAAGATGAGTTTCCCGCAGCAAAAACCTTCTGTTTCTCAATGATGCCAGGAAACAGCGGAATAAAAGAAACACCAAAATGATTCCCCACTTTACTCAGATTTAAGCTTGGACTGAGCACAATCCCAATATCTGCTTGCAGCAAGCAAAGCAAGTCGCCCACGGAATCCCCGACGTAAACTGTCAGATTCTTTTTGTCATTGCTGCAGCTATTTAATATTTTACTGAAGGCTTGAACTTTGTCGATGGGGGACTCAACTTCCTTAACAATTTCACCAGTGGATAGATTTTCTTCAAATATAAGCTCATTTGCATGCACATTCAGAACATCCAAACCCCCTGTTCAACACAAGGCAAGAAAAGTATTACTACCATTAATTTGAAAACTGAAAGAGGACCCACCGCACATTAGCAGCTACGAAAAGACAAGTTTTCAGAAAGACAAAAGAGGAGTACACATCATATAAATGGTGATATCTCAACAAAAGACTCAGTTTGTAAACCAAAACATAATCAATGGCCATATTTTCCGACTAAATCCATTATTCAAAGTTCTTATCAGCAAGGAAATACCTGATGAGAAGGCAGACCTCATAAGGTCACCGCACCAACAATAGGAGAGGACATGAATGTCTGCATTCAACTGTTCATTTTGTGTTATGCTCTGGAAAAAGTTGTTACAACCATCTTGGAGAATCAACCGCTCCCCGGCTCGCTTTATGTCTTCAAGATTCATACCTTTCAGTACTCCAGATTCAGTCACCCTCAAATTAGCTCTTTTCTCAAAATCTGAAAGTTGCTCAAGCGCTTTATGCAGCCTTTCGTAATCAAAATTTTCAGCTGTGAAGAAGGAATAAATTTCTCAGAAATCTAAATTCATTTCAGTTACACTGACAAACAACAGCAAAAGATTATGAATAAAGTGTACCTTTTTCAGTAAGCAACATTGTCTCTATGCATTGCTCATATTCTTCGGTATACTGCTTAGAGAGATGTTCCCATGTACTTCTCAGATCTGCTGACAACATTCGAACAAGTTGATTCTCTGGTTGATTTTCACCAGATTTTGGTGCCGACATAATTGCAAGTTCTGCCAAGATCGCTGAAGAATCAACAACCGCGCATGTCAAATCAAAATTGAAAAATATCACAAGCCGGTGTTCAGCAGGACTGTGCTCTCTTGACAGAGGGATGACGGATTTCTGATCAATTGGCTGCGCTAAGAAGAAGCCCAATTCAAGTTTCATTGCTTGTTGATAAAGCTTCTCAATTACGTCAAGCTCTTCGCCTGTCAAAGAGACACTTAGTTTGTCCAACAATTCCTCATTTTGCAGAGTCAGTCCCTAAATTCACAAAGTAAGTGAGTATATCACATTGTGTTTATCTTACAAAAGCTGAATTCATGAGCAAGGAACAAACAGCCACGAACCTGGAAACCTTCAGAAGCATAACTGTCGATCCACTTCTGGTAAGGATGAGTTGCTTCGCTCTCAAGAAACACGTGCATCTCTTTACCAAGGTAGGCACAAAGCCTCATGCAAGGAATCATAGCGCCAAGGATATAAGCTGCCAACTTAGTTCTCTCAAATGGAGTAGCAAGTTTAGCAGCTTTTACTCCTTCAATCTTTCCCGAGGCTGTAGCCAATAAGAAATCTGTGTACTTGACTGTTGCAGGGTTGGCCGTAGACTGCTTGGCCAGATCAAAGCCCCACTCCTAATAGTGATTTATGACATAATTTATTTGCTCACGAGAGATTACAGGAAATATAAAGATAACTTGGAAATACTTTGATATATAGGCATATAGCACTTGAGTTGTAATCATAAGATAACAATCATCACAGTAGTTGCAAATGACAACTATCTCCTTAAATGGGAAATCAAAGTATAACTAGATGAGTGGCCCTTCAGATGTGCTATAGACACAAAAAGTAAACAGCTATTGAGAGTCCACAGAGATCATCTGAAGATGGTGTTGGAGTAGAATTTTGAATTATCCAGAGGATTTACAGAATAGAACACAGTGAAGATATTTGCATAACGATAGCATGTTTTTTGAGAAGTTGGTCCATTCATTTAACATCTTCCTCACTTGCCTTCATTAGATTGCCGTCCCAAAAAGGAGGGGGGCGATCTTCTACCAATTCAATCTTTGAGATATCCCCACAGGAAAACCACAATGGTTTGTCTACTCATTACAATTCAGTCCTCTACCCATTCTTGACCTTGTTTAACCTTGTCTTTTGGAGCCCATAGACTTAAGACTGAACATAGCGATACAAGACAGGAAGCATCCCCCACAACCAACGTGGACCTCTTAACAACTCCTTGCACGCCTAGACCTAGACATTTGAGCTGGACTACATAAAATGGGGCCTCAACATTGGGTAACTCAACATCAGGATTTTGAGTTAGGTCCAAAGTTTATTTTTCTTAACATGGTAACAAAGCTAGAGCCAGAAGAGACGGGATGCATCAACATAAATTTGTAACAGACAAGATCAAAACTGCTGATAATAACTTATGTTAGGAACATTATAGGCTGAAATCTAAAAATATATTTACATCAAACTTCTCACTGGCATTAGATTCCTGATAGTCTCTAGATATATAGCCCATTTGAAAGTTAAGAATGCACTCACTTCTATGGCATTCCTTTGCCAATAAGCCTTTTCTAGATTAAAAAAAGAAGGCAAAGGTCCGCTTTGTCTACAGCTAGCTATTTCAACAAAAGCCCATGTTTTAAATAACTTTTTTCCTTTTTGTTCCATCATCAAATTGGATAGACTTGATTAAACTCCAAAAAGGATTCCACATTCCTTTGTGGGTGTAATTCAGACAGAGGTTTTAGTTAAACGACTCAATTCCAAGTCTTATAAAGATGACAAGTTTGCTGCACCAGTATACTCCCACAAGAAAAACAGTATTACAATTATTTTGATCAAAGATGAGAACCGTCGAAAAACCACCTGCTATACAGAGTCAACTATTTTTTCAAAATCCACCAGAGAGTTAGATACATTCAATAATTATAACTCTAACGAAAGTACCTATAGAAACTAAAAGTCACCCTAATATGTTAAAATAAGCAGCAGGCAACCAATGCACAGTAGTCCCAATTACAAACAAGTGTGATGAGAAACTAGAATGAAACATGACCAAGAGAAAGAACAAAAGTTTTAATTATATCTCACTTGAATAACCGTATCATGCATTTTGAGTTCTTCGATGACATTCTTCCGCAATTCATTAATGCCGACCTTTGCATCATCATCGTCAGTACACTCTTCTGCAGCTTCATACCTGCAAGACACTTTCATTTTGGAGTAAATGTATAAAACAACTAATACACATGTAACTACCAAAACTCATGGTAAAAACAAACTTATTCCCTACCAAAAATCTCAATCATTTGTCCTCATTCCTACATTTATCACTACCAATACAAAGTATTAAAACCAACTAGACCCCAAAAAATCCTGCATCATCTTGTGATAAGAAAGATAAAGACATCTTTTCCAATGATAGATTTTCAAGATTTTCTAAGAGAGACCCCACAAACCATTTTTTTTTTTTGATAAAGTAATATAACTTTATTAATAAATGGCAAAAAAACACCCGTATACAAGTAGTATTAATAGTAGAAAATCTTCCACTAACCAATAATCTTCCCCCATAAGTAACCATACCAAGCTCAGCAAAAAAAAAAAAAAAAGGATCGCATAACATAAATTAATTATTTTCTTGCATATTCATTAAACCACATAAATTAATTATATCTCAATCCCAAATTAAATCCTCTACATTAATCCCCCTATTATTAAGTCCATTTCATTCTGATACTAAATAATTCCATTCCACTCTATTAGTATGTCATAAATAAGCAGCAAACAAAATAAACTACAAAAATTACAAAATCAAATACACCATTTCTTGAAACATTATCCCTACACAAAAATTACAGGTAGAAACAAGAACAAGAAAACTACCCGCTCTATTCAAGAAAAGAAACTTTAACGAACATTCCAAGAAATGTATATCTCTTTTCACCCTTTTGATTCAAGTAGAATTGCAACTATATCTCTTTTCACCCTTTTGATTCAAGTAGAATTGCAACTTAAGTACATAAAATGATAAAAACGAATTGGGAGTAAAAAAAAATTTCTAAAAATGGAAGTAAAGTAAAGAAACTGACGCTTTAGCAAAGGCTTTGAGGAAGTAAGAATCTTGAGCAATGTAATGCTGGAATGTTTCAAGCTTTAAAGTCCCAGAAGCTAAACAAACAATAAATGGAGTGTAAAGTGCAAGAATTGACTCTTTCTTGAATTTGATCCAACACTTTCTTGCTATATCCACACTTTCCTCAATAGGAACTGCCGCCATTGTTGTAACAGTAAAGGGTGTTGGTGGTTGGGGAGGAGAAGAAGTAGAAGGAGTTTGTGGGTGACGGGAGAAATTTGTTGGACTTGGAGAAATCAGAAAAGAATGGTGTTTTCTTGAATTTGATATTTACTGGTTTTGGAATTGATGTACTATAAATAGTAAGGGGATGATGATAATGACTCTGTCCAAATAAAGTGACAAGGTAGGCGGACAAGGGTCAACAATGACAACAATTTTATTTTATTTTTTTATGTGAATTTTTGGACATAAATATTATAAATTGTAGAATTTTAGCATTAAATTATTTGAAAATAGTCTAAAAGTATGGTAGATGAAACGAAATAAAAACCAATGAACACTAAGGTTGAGCTAAGAAATTACGTAGCTTTGCCTTATTGTATAGTTACTTAGTATGCAAGTATGCTGTGAAATAGTTAATATGTGTGTAAGCTGACCTGTATAATATAATTATAAATTTTTTTAAATTAGAACCGTTGTGAATGAAAAAAAATGTGATTTCTTTAATCTCTAATGTATATGTCCGTTATTGAGATTCATATCAATTCGGATTAATATTTAGACATCAATATTATCTCTTTTTTCATCAAGGACGAACTTCTTTTTTAGGTAAGAAAGACGCGCGTCTAATTACTTTTTAGGTAAGAGAGGCGCTCGTCTAATCCAAAAGTATGACCTAATGGTGAAAAACTAAATGAAGACTATTAGAGCTTAAGATTCGAAATTTAGTAGAGATAAATTATGTAACTTCCCTCGGTAAATAGAGTTACTTAGTATATAACTATCCAATGGCATAGTCAAAATGTGTGTATGTTGACTTTATACTGTTGTTATATAATATTTGAATGTGAACCATTGTGAATGGAGAAAATGAAATTGCGCAAATAATCTTTTATCTATATGTCTATTACTGAAATTCATATCAATTCGAATGAATATTTAGGCACCTATATTACCTTATTTTCCTTTAAGGACGAACTTCCTTTTTAAGTAAGAAAGACGCTATTTGGATTACTAGTATTAATGTTAACAAAAAAATGATACCTCTCTTCTTTCGCGGTATGTATTTATGTATTTATTGATCGGACGATTGATTCCGTAAAAGATAAATTCAATAAACAATAGTTCTTTAAAATTTCAACTTTGTGAGAATATTATACCGAGACAATTTTAAGTATGCTGAATTAGTATAATTATTTTTCTTCCAACACACCGGACACAATTTGAATTAATATCAGTAGTAAGTATCAAATAATTTCCTTTTTTTCTTTACTTGTTGATATAAAATCTTCCTCCATCGAGAGTATGTCGAAAGCAAAACAAAAAAAATTATTCAAGACGAGACAATTAATCATAATGAAGCCAATAAGAAAGTATTAGCAGACTTTGTAGGTTTGCTTATGTAAGTATATGGCCCTTGAATAGTACTAGTTATGTCATTCTTTTTTGGGATATATATAGTAACTAATGAGAAGAGAGGACAAAGGTTTTTAATCATTGAGCTAATTCCCACAATTTTGTAGTCATTTTACTTTAATACTAGTAGTAACACATTAAAATAATAGTTCAAGATTTTTATGTACTTTGTACCCTTCGATAATCTAACATGTACAAAACTCTACTAGATGGTAGTGGTTTGCCACATGAAGAATGTTATCAAATGCACAATCAAAGTGGAAGAGTAGGCAAGAGTGGGCTTTTCTCATTATGTTATTGGGACCAGTAATTAGAATTGAGGCGTTACCGTTAAAGCCACTAATAGAAAATCGAAATAACTAATAACAGTAAATATGGAATGGCTAATGTGATTAGTCCTTTGGCCAACGACTGTTGGAAGCATTAATCAAGAAAATATTCAATGTGTTTTTCCAAAATTATGTACTTATTTTTAAAAAGTCTTTTACTCCTCATATTAAATTATGCTGCAACATTTAATTAAGGGTAATTTAGTCACACTAAGTATTTTTGTCTAGAATTTAGTATTTCCTTAATGTGCGTGTCCAAAATAAATTGATCACTTATTGTGGACAGGAGGGAGTAATAAAAAACCGAAATAACTAATGATTGTAAATCTGGAATGGCTAATGTGATTAGTCCTTTGGCCAATGACTGTTGAAGCATTAGTTATGTCCTATGGATATGCTGATTTCACCGATACACTTGCTGGTTATGAAAGACAAATTGCTACTTTTGGATAGCAGTCTCAAATCAACAATTTCAAGAAGAGCCTCAAATCAACAATTTCAAGAAGACATGAATCTTGAGTTCTTAGGGTAAAAATAAAAAATAGCCAGATTTATAATTGGTAATTGATAAATAGTGACAATTTTAAAAGTAATTGAAATTTTGGCCACTTTTTCAAGTAAAGATAAAATATGAACAAAAACACCCTTTAAAATCCGGAAATATTCTAGCATAATATGCAGGAATTCGAATTTTTTACATATGAGCTTCCCGCAGAATGTGCTGGAATTTCAACATAATATGCGGAAAGTTTATATGCAGGAGCTTTATAATCCAACATATTATGCTGGAACTTTCCTTGTGTTAGAGTTCCAAAACAATATCTTGGAAGTTTATACGCAAGAGCTCTATAATCCCGCATATTATGCTGGAACTTTCCCTATTTCAGCATTCAATGACTTTGTAAATGCTAACTAATTTTCGATTACCGAAAACTGGTTAGCCCGTGCTATTTTCACTAGTTCTTACGGAGTATGTTACAAATTTGATGCAGAAGAAAGGGATACAATTTAAACTCTGTTCAGCAGTATATTACAAAGTCTGTTAATAGTAAATTCTTTGATTTTTGGTGTAGTGCATTGAACATATTAGCATGTAATTTCAAGGAAGAAGATGTATCTATCACATTGAATGAGAAGGTTTTGAGACATTATAATGTTCTTAGAAGCGCTTAAAAGGTTTTTCTAACAGCTTATTTGGATGGTTGTTATGTATCATTTCATAATATATCGAATTATATTGTATTGCGTTGCATTGTATTGTACTGTATCGTTTTAATATATACAATATTTAGATAGATTATACTGTTTGTCGTCGTTTCATGCACCCGCAAATATGTAGAAAAACTTGTAATTACAAAGAAAAAGAAAGGTATAAGGTAGAATTATTACATAAAAAGATAGGGTAGAGAATAAAATAGGATTATTTAATAATAAGGAAAGGAAAGATGATAGGAAAAAATAAGGTAATGACGCGACTACACCAAATCGGTCATTACATAAAGTGACACTTTTCATTATTACGTAACGACGAATTTAACGATACGATACAATAAAATTTAAGCAATAATCAAAATAAAATAACGATACAATATAATACAATACAATAGGTAACAACCATCCAAACAAGCTATAAAAGCTTGAAAATATCTATTGGACATAAAGGGTTTCAAGAGTTTTAATTTCACACAAAGAGCAATAACAGTCTAATTTTACATTTTCTCTCACAGTTTCAAGCCTTCCTGCTTTTCCCCCACTTTGCCTTCTAAAATCTCTTGGTTTTTGCACATAATACAACCAACAAACTAATACAGGAACCATATACATTTATAACTGCTGTTACACTTGGACTTGATCATCAACCAATGTCAACCATACTGGCTTGGACTTAAATATAACTGCCAAAAAATGGTTCTTCATTTGAACCCTTAACTTTAGTAGTGCTAAACCCGAGAGTTCAACTGAACCTATTGTTTTTGGCTCGAAGCATGTATATATATGCTAAAAAAATTAAAATGTGTACATATAATAAGACCGTACTTGCTTTGAACCTATTGATTTTAGATCCTGGATTCGCCTTTGCCTACCATCTTTCATCCCCAAACCAGTTATTCTTCTCTTTTGGTCCTGTTGGCCCTGCTTCACCATAAAGTTCAGTTGGAAATAACTCAATAAGACTCTCCACCGAAATTCTAAAAAAAGAAGGAAGGTGGTTGATTATCTTGTCAACTTCATATCCCGATTTGTATTCGATCGTTGGACCCCATTCCCTCATGTACTGTAACCAAGGCGGCTCTGCAACAATTCCTTCTCCGAGATACTCAGCAGCGATAATTTGATACTTACTGCTAGAGTCGACGTAGTATTTGCTTCTTGCACAATCATTCCTCACTCCGATACCAATCTTTGTATTGCCTTGAAGGTAACAGCCAGGATGTGGGAAACTCGCGTGTCCATTTCTTGATGCATATACAATTGACTTGTTCCCATTGATGAACTCCAAATCACGAGCATTAACCCATTCACCACCACTATGCTCACTGAAATAGACACACCAGAGCTCCCCCGAAAAGTTGCTAATACGAAGAGTGTAATGCTCCCAATCACCAACGTGCTCGCCTACTCTATTCATGGCTAGACTCAACAAACTTATTTTAAGGGTAGCTGGTCCATTAAAGGGGCAAAAAACCCACATTGCAATATCAGTAAACGTTCCTCCTTCAGCCGGTTTAACATGCACATAGAGCTCAGCTGTCTCAATATTACCACATTTGACAGTGTGTCTATTTTCAACATCTTTATTTGGCAAATCAAGCCAATATTTACCATCATTTTGTCCACCTGCTGGCAAGTTTGAGCCTTTAGAGTCGATCGCTATACCATTGTCCTTCCCATCTTTAAATAGAAGGGCTCCATTTTTGAAGAACCATTGAACGGACGAGGGCAAATAAATTTCATCAGGATGGAAGTAAACAGTTGGTCCATAGTGCTTAATAAGTGCATGGACCTGCTCAAGATTGGGCATTGCCTTTAGAGACGAGTCGAGATTTTTCAAACATGCAATGTTGAGTTCATTTCCTTTAGTGAAACTTGTACTGCAGAAGAAAGTCCCAACCGAAACCCCTTTACACAACATGCCCCTCGCGCAGGGTCTTGTTTTCCAAACTTGAAATTGGTTCTTTCCAAAAAGAGAATTTGAACTAAAAACAACTTCACAAGCCTCACAACTTTCTGTAAGATCAGCGTGGACACATCTAACTTCTTCAAGATTCGGTTCATTAGCCTCAACAGTAGCCACAAAGCCCATCGGTTTATAACCAACTGGTGCATTAGGAAGCCAAATGTAACCAACTTCATTATAAAGGGATTTCGCGCTATATACTAAAGTGTAGTTCAATGGCTTTTTAAGAGCAGGAAGCTTGGAAGTCGAATCTCGAAATGAAATTTTTTGCTTCTGATCAGCAGATAAATCTTTGACAGCAAGAACATAACCTGTTATGTTCTCACCATCAGGCTGACAGTAATGGCCAAGAATTGAAAATCCTTGTGGTATTTCATCTGGCTTATAGAATGAGATTGATTTTGATTTTCCAAATAATGGATTACAACCCCAAATTTTCTTAAACTTGGTGATTTGAACAGCTTCAATTTCACCTAGGCATATTTTTCCTGTAGCAAATCCTTTACCTACAAGGACAATATCTCCATTAGAAAAACTGAGAAACTATAGCAGAATTTTTACTGTCAAGTGTTTGTTGTTAGCTATATTGCTCGGATCCTTCAAAAATGCCGTCACACGCGTGTCGATCCAACACACACTCGGCGGTATTTTTGGAGTATCGGAGCAACATAGCTTTTTAGGCCCCTTGTCTCTATTGTTTTGGAAATGCTTTATACAAACAATTTTTAACGTGACAACTCTACAATTTACTATTTCTATTTTCGTTTTGCCCATTGCAGCATATATTAAAATGGCACATCATTTAACTAATAGGATCTTCATCCTCAACCCAAAAATCAAAACACAAATAGAAACAAAAGGACTTTCAGCACTCCACCAGAAAAAAAATTATCCAGATTAAAAATGGGACCTTTACACAAATAGCCCACTCGATTCACTATATACTTTTTCTAACCAATATACATAGACTATACACTAATTATACACATACTATACATGGACTGATATTATACATTGATCGGCTACTTTTAGTTTAAGCAGTTGGGCGAAGGCTATTTAGGTTAATTCTTCATAAAATAAAAATTCAAAATTTTCCTTTCCACATAAATGCTGAATTATTCACTTTTCATAGATTCTTGCACATAAAAATGTGAATTTTATATATACAGAAGAAGATCAATTTTTCATTCTTAGCCCCAGCCAAAGTCAATCATAGAACTGAAGAGAGAGAGAGAGAGAGTCAATGTAACTGAGAACTGACTGAAACACAGAGCTTCTGTTAAAGATAATAGGACAACTGGAAAATAATAAAAACAATAAGAATTTTATTTTTTTAAAAACGAAAAACAGAAACTTAAAAACATACCTTGAGGCCATTGTGGAAGGGGTGAAGGCAAATGAAAACGCTGTGGTTCAACATTGTAGTAATCAGATACACTATCCCAGCTGCAACACTCCCTCCCAAACATTTTTCTTTATCTTAATCACAATTAAATACCCACAAAATATTTTCCTAAGAAAGAAGAAAGGACTTTCAAAAACTTGCAGTATGATGGAAAAATATTATCTTTGGGAAAGCTTTTGCTTTTCTTGAGAAAAAGGTGGGCTAAGAAGAGAGCAATAACTGAGAAAAGAGAATGGGACAGCTTTTAATATAATACTAATAAACAACAGTTGCATGTTACAGGTGTCTGTTGTTGTTTGGGATTTGGAGTATTTTTTTCGTGATTTTAGAAATTTATTGTATTATTATTTTTCCAATATTTGCTTTGTGGTGCGATTAATTTGAGTTTGACATGGGACAAAATTCATTTTGAAGGATAAAGTGTTCTGTAATAAAACAAATTCATTTTTAAGTTCGAACTCGAAATTTCTCGTCAGGAAGGTAAAGTTCAAATATTATTTTGGACCAAGTAAACATGATTGAGACATGATCTTGTTGCTAACAAGATAATTAAATAAGTAACATTAACGAGTTGTGGTAAATGGATTAATTAGAGGTCTTCGTCTCTGGTCCAACTTCATAATTTTTTTTAATAGGGAATGCTTCTCTTTTTTAAATGATAGGAAGCTNTAGGAAATATGAAAGCATATTCTCCTATGATTTCAATTATTAAAAGTTGAAAATTGAAAAATTGTTTGTTTATTTGAATCACTTTGCTAGGTTTTTTGTTTGTCCTAATACTTTTCCACAACTATTCTTCCACGTGTTTCGTGCTTTCTCTTGGTCCTATCAACTTTAATATCTTTTACTCCTTTTGTTTCAAATAACTTAAAGGAATTTATGTCTGAATTCACATCGAAAATAGTTAATTTGATCACTACTTCATAAATATTAATGTTATTTTTAGGATGAAGAAGATGCCTAAAGAATGGAGATAGAGTATAAAATAGGGGATATCCAAATATGCAACAACTATAGGGGTATCAAACTGTTAAGCCATACTATAAAAGTTTGGGAGAGGATTGTGAAAGTGAGGGTGAGGAGGAATGTATCTACTTTTGAGAACCAGCTCGGATTCATGTTGGGGCATTCGACTACAGAAGTGATTCACCTGGCAAGGAGATTAATGGAACAATATAAAGAGAGGAAGAAGGACTTGCATATGGTGTTCATTGACTTAGAAAAAGTATACGACAAAGTTCTAAGGAAGGTCTTGTGGAGATGTTTGGAGGCTATTAAGAACATTAAGAGGAGACTCGGAACACTTTCTAGTCGTGATGAGGTTGTACCAGAGAATAACCCTTAGTCCATTTTTATCTGCCTTGGCATTGGACGCATTGATGCGACTCATTCAAGGAGTGGTGCCATGACGTATGTTATTTGCGGATGATATTGTACTGATTGACGAGACACAATGCGGTGTTAACGCGAAGAGGTATGCTGACAGATCCTAGAATCTAAAGGTTTCAAGTTGAGCAAAACCAAGATAGAATACTTGAAGTGCAAATTCAGTGACGTGACTCGTGAAGCTGATGTGGACGTGAGGCTTGATACACAAGTCATCCCAAGAGAGGTACTTTACAAATTAAAATAGAGGAAATATTTATTATAGGAAAAAGATGATTAAATTAATATTATGCTATCATATCTTTTTTTAAGTTTACCTAATTCATTTAGGATCAATAACTAGAAAAAAAAACTTCTTAAAAATATATCGATAAATAACAGTATTCCATTTAACAAAATTTATTCTTTATCTAAATTATATACAAGAACCGTGCGTAAATTTTTCTTTTACAGGAATGTATCAGTGTTTTAAAGAGCGGGGCATTTTCCTTAATATGGGGCGTAAGCTCCAAATAACACAAAAATATAAAAATGTTTACCGTGAAAATGGTACTAACAATTAAATTTGATTATGGGACTCTACAAATACGTGATCTATTTTTATGTTGGTTGTTAAGCAGTTGATGCTACGTGTGAGACTTAGAAACGAGATAAAAGTTAGGAATAAGGTGATAACCAAACTGATAGGTTAACAATCGGGACCTCAAGCTTGTTGATTCGGGGCCTCGAGGTCGATTCCGATGCTCGGCCGGGAGCTATCGAAGGCAGTTGGAAAGTGGCTAACAGTTATAATAAAATCAACGAAGGCTCTTTATGGCCAATAATAAGCAATAAATGATGAACAATGAATAGAACACAATAAATATTAGCAATAAATGAGATAACGAGACCAAGAGAAAGTGTTAGAGAGCAGAGAGAATGTTCTAGTATATTTAGTCTGGAGCAACAGGGTGTACCCTACATAATGACAAGGATTCCCCTTATATAGGAGGGGGGAATCACAATATAGTACAAAAGCTTTAATTACAAAGATATGTGGCAGGTATAGCCACCTACTGCCCAGATACGGGTCAGGGCTAGACCTCTAGGCTTTGTCAGCCTTAGCTGTGTGCCTTGGGAACTCCCCATTTCTACCATAGCCGGGACATTGTCCCAAGGTCGAGCATCGACGAACCTCGAGGGAGGAAACTCGACCGTAGCCTTGTAGCCTCGAGTCTTCGAGATGATCTTCTGAGGTGCCTCGATGGCGAGGAATTGGACCTTCCGATTTTACCGTATACAGATAGTCCCGTGTTTCTAAGAGTAGAACGATTAGAAACGACCTTGATAACCATCTTTCCGAATTTCCCGCGATAATGTTACACTGGTGATGTCATACTTATGACATAAGCCTTAGTGGCAACTGGAGCGTCACGTCGGTTCATCTTTTCAGAGTCATTCACTACACTGTCGATTCTTGTTCTTCAAAACAATAATATCGTCGTCGGTCCATTTTTCAAAAACGCGTTGATTGCTCCTGCCGATACGTCTTTCAAAGACATTAATGGGGCCGCCGGTTAAGCTGCCATCCCCTATAAAAGGGAACCTCCTGGAACCATTTCTTTATAAGGGAATAGGTAAAAAAAACCCTAAACTTGACACTTTTTAATGAGTGTACACTTTAACTATACGTGATTTTAATTACCCCCCTATGCTTATTTTTTCGGATTTTATTACCCCCTAACTTAGTAAACCTTTCTATCGTGCATACACGCGCCGTATACATGTAAATGCTTGCTGATGTGTTTGTACACGTTGGAATAATTCAGGTATCCAATTAGAATACTCGACCCGCCATTAAAATTAATCCCTCAAATTTAACCCATCCCTTTTACAATCGTTCATTTGGTCGATAACATAGAAAAACTAGGCTTCACCACTTCACTCCCATCATCAATGACAAAGACGATTGTGCGTTCTTGAGCTTGATTTTGTGAGTCGATAGGGTTCTCCGTTGAGGTGCTGCTAAAAGCTACTGTGGAGGAGCTGAAAGCTACTGGGTATCTTTGATTCTCGCTAATATTTCTACTGTTTTCACTCTGAGTTTGAAGGTATGTGTGCCTCTTTTTGTTAGGGTAAAATCAGATCTTTTATGTTGATTGTGATTTTTGCAAGCATGGTGATTAGGGTTAAATTAGGGCTTTTATGTTATTTGTTAATTTGTGGGGGTCTTTACCGATTACTGTTTATTTGTAATCTTCTGTATATAATTTTACAAACATCTGTCTTGAGAGTTGTTTTTTACTTTTTCTTATTGCTGTGTAAGGTCCCATGGATACTAAGTATGTAAATCTAAGATGGAAAATTGGTGGGATATTGGTGAGTAAGGTATAACCTCTATATGTTGAGGGTAGGGTTGAACATGTGACAAATGTCGACTGTGACCACTTGTCAATACCAGAGTTATCTGATTATGCTAAGGATTTTGGAATTACAAAGTTAGGAAAAAACTTATATTATGAGCGCTAAGGGTGGTAGTTTGGTTGAATTAACAAAAATAGGGATTTAATGGACCTTGCTATGTCATTAAACAATGGGGACACAATAGACATTTTTGTCTCTTCTGACTCACAATTTGAGGAGGTGGATGCTATAGAGGGTAGCCAAATAAGCCACGTGGGTGAGCCATTTAATGCATCTTCTAGCACACAACAAGACAATAGGGAATCTTTTGTTCCATGTGGTCCTCCTTTAAATACTACTGCTGCAAATCCAGATCTAGGGTTACCTACTTCTTTGAATACCACTCAAGAAGAGGATTAACCTATAGATTGGACTTCCTCTTCAGAGGAAGAAGAATCTGCTGCTGCTGATGATGTAGAGACATTGCTGCTGATTCTCAACAAGTAGAACCAGCCGGAGAAGAAGAAGAAATAACATCTGGTGATGAATCTGAGAGGTCATTTGATTATGGAAGTGATGTCCATGAAGAGTTGAGGGTTGTTAAAAAAGATCTGAAGAAATATAGACAAAAGAATAGGAGAAAACTTAGGAAGGAAAAACCTGATGGATTTTTAGGTGAAGTTGGAGTTGATGAAGGTTATGAGAACAACAATCAACAACAAAAACTTCATTTTCTCATATAATAGACTACTGATTGCTCACAACAATCAACAACAAAAACTTCACAAAAGAGAGGCAGAAAGGAATCTGACAATACATCTACAAGTAAGGCATCTATACGTAAGACATCTACAAGTACTGAAGGAAAATCTGGGGGGGGGGAGGGGGGGGGGGAGGAAGCCACTACAAGAGGCCTAGGCTTCAAGGACATGGTGTATTTGTTGCACAATCTGGTTTTACAAGTATTAATGTAAGTGTATTTTTTTGTCCTTACATTTTATTGTCTAACTACTATATGATGTTATTGTCTAACTTTGAAATGTATCTTTTGGTTTGAATGTTATCAGCATGGTTTGCCTACATCCAGAAAGGTTTATACTGGCCCTTTAATTGATTCTACCCATGTTACTGGTGATATTGGATATAAGCCTTCTAAAGGTTTGAAATGGAAAGGGAAGGAAGCTGTGACTCAAAGACAACTTCAAGTCCAAGCTGCAATGGCTAGAATCAAGACAAGGTCCTAATCCGGTGGAATACAAACAAGATCTAAGGTTATGGGGAAATCACCCTCCAAGAAGACCACTTGAATTTCTTTACTGTTTGGATCTAGATTATATATCTATATTATATTAAGTAGATTGTAGATTTCGATGTATATCTATCAGATCGTGGCTTCATGTACCAAATATTTCAATATCGTTGCATCCGGTATTTTTGTTTTGTTCCAACAGTGTGATGAAGAATAG